AACTGTCAATGCTTTTAGTAAACAAGCCAGAACCTTATCTCCTTTTCACAGCCCATGTGACAGCCCACTTCCTTTCCATGGAATTGTGTTATTTTTCTCTGCAGCCCCCCGCCCACCCACAACTTAGAGAAATATAATTCTAAGTAACTTTCCTTCTTTTTCAGGCAGTTTAGTACATTTCGGTGTCACAAGGCTCCTTAAACTTTTCCACTAAGGACCCCTTAGTGGAATTTTTAATAGAAAATACAGGTACAGAAATCAAACGTTGACTGATATAAATCAGCATTCGCAAGGCTTGCAGTACAGGATGACTTTCCCAATTTTTTTAAGTAAAGCTGAGACCGGGTTGTTGTAGGTTTTTTCAGGCGATATGGCCATGTTCTAGAGGCATTCTCTCCTGACGTTTCGCCTGCATCTATGGCAAGCATCCTCAGAGGTAGTGAGGTCTGTTGGAACTAGGAAATTGGTTTATATATCTGTTGAATGACCAAGGTGGGACAAAGAACTCTTGTCTGTTGGAGCAAGGTGTGAATGTTTCAACTGACCACCTTGATTAGCATTTGATGGCCTGGCAGGGCCTGGGGCAATCTTTTGTTGAGAGGTGATTAGATGTCCTTGTTTCCTCTCTGTTGTTTTGCTGTGGTAATTTTTTTTTATAATATTGGTAGGCAGATTTTGTTCATTGGAGGGCCGCATCCGATCCTTGGGTCTTAGTTTGAGGACCCCTGCCTTAGTGAGCTAGAAACAATGGTAAGATTTAACTTTATAGGCAACACTCATAACCATCATGCTTTTAAATGTTTATGGAAAGACATACTGAGTTGTTCCTTTCATTGGCTCTAAGTCAACTCTACAGATAATCTTATTGTACGAATGCAGAACCGATATTCTTTACACGGCCAGTGATGACCATTAACTGAACATTAACAATGAATGTATTGATGAAGGCTTTCATGGCCGGAATCACTGGGTTGTTGTAGGTTTTTCGGGCAGTATGGCTATGTTCTACAAGCATTCTCTACTGATGTTTCGCCTACATCTATAACAAAACCTGCCGTAGATGCAGGCGAAACGTCGGGAGAGAATGCTTCTAGAACATGGCCATATAGCCCAAAAAACCTACAACAACCCATTAACGATGAAATTTTAAATAACTGCAGCTTAAAAGACATGACCATTTTTCAGCACTAAATTCCACACAATTGTATACATTCTTGTATGGTTATGACTACAATATATTCCTATCTTCCAGTTGATTTCAAGCCTCTTGATCAAGCCTACAACTGCCAGCCAGCACAGTCAATGGGGATTATGTAAGTTATAATTGTCCACCTCTGTCCTAGATAATTACTCCATCTACTATTCACTGCAAGGATTCATTATCAAGACTGGATGGGTTGTTTTCAAAGAGCTACCCTATAATTTCATTCTTTCACTCTCTAGATGTGTCTTTTCCCCCTCTTGTGCTCATTTTATTTATACATGGCAGCCTGATTACAATCTACTGAACAGGAACAAAAAAAGTATTAATTCTTCATTATTCCATACATCCTTTGAACGAGCTCTTTCACTACCTTTGAGCAACCAGAACAAATCACAAAATTTCTTTCATCCCATGGAACTGCAATGTTGGAGAGGAAATTAATTCAGCCAGCTGATCATTTATCCATATTTACAGGATATGATACCAGTTGCATTGTGTTCTGTATCAACACCCATGACTAAGCCACATTTTTTAAATCCTGGGCCCACTGAAATTTATGAGGTCATTATTCCTTTTTTCCATCTTCTGGAGAACTTTAATTTGTGGTAAAATTTAAAGCCACCTCATGCCTTCATTATTCAGGTTTTTGGGTACATCTTTAAAACATGGTGAGAATCATGGACGGCTGAAGCAATAGGCAAATTACGCATTTGCGTAGAGCGCAAATTATGGGAGGTCACCACAACATGAGAAACTTTATTTAGTGTCATGGCATTAGAAAGGTTGAGAACCACTGTCTTATTCCCAGTTTTTCAAAAACTGGCAATTCCTGGGTTATTATTTGAAAGGAGGATTGTTTGTTTTTTGGAAGATAGGGTAGGTAATATCATATGTTGCACAATGTCATAGTGAAAAAAACTCAAGTCTTTTGTTTTTTATGAACGCTCCCATGAGAAAATGTATAAGGATGTGGGTTAACTACAATTTCCAAAAATCTTAGGTCAACCCTCCCAAAACTCCCCCAGGATTCATAGTTGGCCATGTTGGTTCTAAAAAAGAGTTAATTTGTATTAATTCTATATAATGCAACTATATGAACATAATGTTGTAAGTAAAATTCTGGTTTGTAAGGTAACTTACAAACCAGAATTTGTAAGGTTCCGGCCCAAGTTACCTATCTGACCGCATCTCTGCCTATGAACCCACCAGGGCTTTGAGATCTTCCGGGGAGGCCCTACTCTCGATCCCGCCTGCTTCTCAAGCACGGTTGGTGGGGACGAGAGATAGGGCCTTCTCGGTGGTGGCCCCTTGGCTGTGGAACGCCCTTCCCACAGACATTAGGCTAGCACCATCTCTAATGGTATTCCGTAAAAAAGTTAAGACCTGGTTGTTTGAGCAGGCGTTCGAATAATTAGTGCAATAATTGGAAATGAATGGAAAATGGTTGACGAGTCTGGATTATGTTTTTGTGGATGAGATGATAGTGATTAGTTATTGTAATAAGTGTTTATTAATTGTGTGCTGCGCGGGATTGTTAACTGTTTTATATCTAGCATTGAATTTCTGCTGTTTTTGTTGGTTGTGAACCGCTGTGAGTCGCCTTCGGGCTGAGAACAGCGGTATATAAGTAAAGTAAAGTAAATAAATAAATAAATAACTCTTTTATTCACCTCTGCCTTCTACCTTTTATTTTTCAGTGATTGGGTTTTTTTTTGGGGGGGGGGGCAAAATACTGTTTGCCTACACTTGAAAATTATCTAGGACTGGCCTTATGACGTGGGCCTGCAGCACACATCCTTAATCTCTTCCACAGATGCAATTATCCAAAATAATGAAATAGTATTTTAGACCATGCAATTATTCTGTTCTACTTCTATATAACTGTAATGTTAGTGCCTAATAACTTTAGAGAAACAAGAGCAAAGCAGAAATCAGTGTCCACTGTAGAAGTAATGCATTTTGACACTTTAATGGCTCAATGCTGTAAAAATCTGGGAGTCGTTGTTTTACAAGGCTTTAGCCTTCTCTGCCAAAGAGTGCTGGTGCCTCACCAAAACATAGCTCTCGGGCTTTTTCAGCATTGAGCCATGGCAAGTAAAGTGATGCCAAACCACATTAATTTGATAGCGTAGATTTACAATCCTCCTGTGAAGCAGCTGCCTTTCATGTTGCAAAACAGCATTCAGAAAAATGAAAAATGCACTTAGATCTCCACTTAGGTGTTAGACTGAAATACAGTCAATGCCAATGTGTTGTCAAAAGCTTTCATGGCCAGAATCACTGGGCTGCTCCTGAGTTTTTTGGACTAGATGGCCATTTTTTATTTATCGTGTCATCAGCAACCAGACCATTGTATTACATTTCTAACAGAATAAAACAAACAAACAGATAAAAAAACACAAATTTTGCAAACTTGGTAGTTGATTAAATGTCCTTTGACCAGTATCTGGCCACTTGGAGGGCCTCTGGTGTTGTGGCAAGAAGGTCCTCCATTGTGCATGTGGCAGGACTCAGGTTGCATTGCAGCAGGTGATCAGTAGTTTGCTCTTCTCCGCACTCGCATGTCGTGGATTCCACCTTGTAGCCCCATTTCTTAAGATTGGCTCTGCATCTCGTGGTGCCAGAGCGCAGTCTGTTCAGCGCCTTCCAAGTCGCCCAGTCTTCTGTGTGCCCAGGGGGGAGTCTCTCATCTGGTATCACCCACGGATTGAGGTGCTGGGTTTGAGCCTGCCACTTTTGGACTCTCGCTTGCTGAGGTGTTCCAGCGAGTGTTTCTGTAGATCTAAGAAAACTATTTCTTGATTTAAGTCGTTGACGTGCTGGCTGATACCCAAACAGGGGATGAGCTGGAGATGTCTCTGCCTTGGTCCTTTCACTATTGGCTGCTACTTCCCGGCGGATGTCAGGTGGTGCAATACGGGCTAAGCAGTGTAATTTCTCCAGTGGTGTAGGGCGCAGACACCCCGTGATAATGCGGCATGTCTCATTAAGAGCCACATCCACTGTTTTAGTGTGGTGAGATGTGTTCCATACTGGGCATGCATACTCAGCAGCAGAGTAGCATAGCGCAAGGGCAACACTTTTTGCTTGATGTTCAGGCAGTGCTTCTTGTAGGTCAGAGCACAGTCCAGGGTGACTCCCAGGTATTTGGGTGTGTTGCAATGCTCCAGTTGGATTCCTTCCCAGGTAATCCTCAGAGCTCGGGATGCTTGTCTGTTCTTAAGGTGAAAGGCACATGTCTGTAGATGGCTATGAACTAGAAGCATTATCTCCTGACATTTTGCCACATCTATGGCAGGCATTCTCAGAGGTTATGAGGTCCTCTGAGGATGTCTGCCATAGATGTGGGCAGAACGTCAGAAGAGAATGCTTCTGGAACACGGCCATACAGCAACTCAATAATCAATGTCATTACTAGAACAAGTGGACTTAATTGAAAACCCAACAACTGTCTCCCTCAAAGTGGTGTCATATTATTGGGCTAACAGTCTGCTGTGCTCCAAAATATCAGAGAATGGAGCTTCCAAAGTACAAGATTCTCCACTTATCTTCTAAAACAAGGCATGGGGGCACTTTATTTATTTTGTTCTTTTACTAAGGGAAATTCTCTCTTTTATTACTGACTGGAAATTTCACACACTATTGCCTTTTTCACTGGAGGAAAAGCCATTAATAATGAGCAATGAAGCTACCGGTTATCAGACATGCTCATATTGTGATCTAACATGGAGGAAGCCACATCGTAATAACACTGACATTTCCGTTTCTATGGTTATATTGAGAGTTGCATACTTACCTCTTAGCTGGCTAAAGGTGGTGATAAATTTGCTGGGCACAGCCTTCAGCTCATTATTGGCCAGAGTGATGAGATGAATGCCTTCCGTAACGTGCCTCATAACTTTGTAAAGGGCAATGGGGAAGGTCATCAGTTTGCAGTCTGCCAGATCTATAACAAAACATCAACAGAGGAGAGATGGAGAAAGAGTTGAGTTTTCTTTGGCAAGCGTGCATCATGGTCCAACACATCACATTTTAATTAGCTGTCCCGAGGACTGTATATGTCTGGATTTCAGAGGAGTTTTTTTTTTTCATCCTCATGGACTATGGATTTTGCTTTCAACTTGCTTTCACTACTCAAACCCTTCTTTTTCAAAATCACTGTATACAAAAAACCTTACTTCTCTGATATATGCTCCACTTATTCTATTGGATGTTCTAACCCAGAAATTATGTATCAATTGTCTGCTAAAAGTCTTTTTCTACTCTGGTTCAAACTTTTACCATACCTCTGTGACATGGTTTTTGTTCCAGGTTTATAAATGTCATTTACTAACTGGTTTTATCACAAAAGCATGGAAAAGGTTTATTAAACTGCAAAATCTGCAGCACATCTTTATATATATAATCTCAGCCTGCGTATGTTCATGCAAAACTCGAAAAGTAGTCAGTTGATTGACTTGACATTTCGACACAACGTTCCAATCAAATACATGCATGTATTTAGAATAAAACTAGAATATAAGAAATGAAAACTGAGCTCTAGCAACCAATCAGCGCGCAGCTTTCCTTTGTCCTCAGCAGAAGAAATAACAACCTATCACAGAGCAGCTTTCATTTTACCTTAGTAGTAGAAGAAATAACTGTCAATGGCATCACTGCACAGCAAGGCAAGGAAACACATCGATCACAGTCCCTTCAGGCTATCAACTAATTTATTGTACAACTATTTACATTAGAAGCTAAGCACATCGTAAAACTGCTTCCACTCCATCCGGCAGCTACATTCGAACACACACAGATCATGCTGTTATCAGTAGCAGTTCACACCTCCTGCATTCCAGAGTGACGTATAACATAGGACACATGACGCTGTGTCAATTGCTCTATACACTTTGATTTATGACCTCTCTAGGAATGCTGTTTCCCTTAATGGTACAGTTAACCCTTTCCACACAGGAATACTCTCGGCACATAGCATTGCATTTTAAAACATACATACATACATACATACATACTTTGAAATCTACATTACACATTTTCAAACCACTTCAACAATAACAACCAATCAAAGCACAGCTTTCTTTTTACCTCAGCTGTATATGAAATACCAACCAAAAACAGAGAAGAATCATTTCACTTCAGCAGTATAAGCAATGAAAGATTGGATGTGATTGGCAACACAAATAGTACAGGGCAGGTCAAAGTGTTAGGTATTTTTAGTGTTGGTAATTTCGCCGGCCATAGTACAAATGGCACTGCACCTACAAATCCAGAAACAGGAAAAATCACTTTCCCATGTAATTTCTGCAACATCGTGAATTCAAAGTAAGAATTAGTAGACAAAGTTTTCCAAAGCATTAAAACAAAATAATAAAATCACACATAGTTGAGCGGAACAGCCATTGTAGTGGTTAAAAATATCAGTGAACACGAGAAGAACATCATTCTAAATAACACTGCAGATGAAACAGTGATATACAAATGGATGCTTTTGAATTGTGGTGTTGGAGGAAAGTTCTGAGAGTGCCTTGGACCGCGAGAAGATCCAACCAGTCCATACTTCAGGAAATAAAGCCCAACTGCTCACTGGAGGGAAGGATAGTAGAGGCAAAGATGAAGTATTTTGGCCACATCATGAGAAGACAGGAAAGCTTAGAGAAGACAATGATGCTGGGGAAAATAGAAGGAAAAAGGAAGAGGGGCCAACCAAGGGCAAGATGGATGGATGGTATCTTTGAAGTGACTGGCTTGACCTTGAAGGAGCTGAAGGTGGTGATGGCTGACAGGGAGCTCTGGCGTGGGCTGATCATGAAGAGTCGGAAGCGACTGAATGAATGAACAAGTTTTTAACTTTGTGGTTTTTTTATACATTACAACTGTATTCTCAATTTGCTTCTGACACGATACACAAGATAAAATAAATAATTGCAAATCAAGCATTCAGAAACTCATGCTTCATATGCCTCCTCCATCTTTCCTTCATCCTGCATCATCCAACAATAACTTTTCACAGGTTTATATAACTCACTCCTCAGAAGATCTAAACATGAAAGTTTAAAATCAGTCCATCTTCAAGGTGTATCAGACATTTCTTCAGATTTGTTCTAAAAGGGTGAGAGCTTTTGAATTAATTATGATGTTGTAACACAGTTACAGGCATATAAGAAGTTGATGTGCTCCTGAGCATTACTTCTTAAAAAAAAATGTGGCACCAGATATGGTAGAAATATCATGAAAACAACAGGGATAGGTCCCTACAGCATAACGAGTATGAAAAGTTCAATATATTCCTGAAAACTTTTTAATCTAGAGTAAACCACAGGCACATGTCAAATGAAACAACCTGGTAAAGTATGCCCTGTTTACATAAAGAGGGACATTATGAATCTGCTAGAGGCCACTTTTTCCAAAACTAGCAGAAATCACTTGACTTAATAGATGCAATAAAACACAGCAGCTGCTGCAGATATAAAAATAGCTGCAATTAATATTAGTCCCATAAAGTGCTAGGGTGAAACAAATCACAAGGTCCTCGAAGATAAGGTTCTAAACATGGTCAAAGGCCTGTTTTAAAAGCCATGTTTTCAGATGTGTTCTGAAAACTTGAAGAGTGAGGGTAATCTAATATCTCTAGGATGGGCATTCCAGAGCCGGTGCAGGGGCACCACCGAGAAGGCACTCTCTCTCTTGTTCCCATCAACCATGCTTGAGAAGGAGATATTGACAAACTGGAATGTGTCCAGAGGAGGGCGACTAAAATAATCAAGGGTCTGGAGAACAAGCCCTATGAGGAGCGGCTTAAGGAGCTGGGCATGTTTAGCCTGAAGAAGAGAAGGCTGAGAGGAGACATGATAGCCATGTATAAATATGTGAGAGGAAGCCACAGGAAGGAGGGAGCAAGCTTGTTTTCTGCTTCCCTGGAGACTAGGACACAAAACAATGGCTTCAAACTACAAGAAAGGAGATTCCATCTGAACATGAGGAAGAACTTCCTGACTGTGAGAGCTGTTCAGCAGTGGAACTCTCTGCCCCAGAGTGTGGTGGAGGCTCCTTCTTTGGAAGCTTTTAAACAGAGGCTGGATGGCCATCTGTCAGGGGTGATTTGAATGCATTATTCCTGCTTCTTGGCAGGGGGTTGGACTGGATGGCCCATTAAGTCTCTTCCAACTCTTTGATTCTATGATTCTATGAGATAGGACTGAGAGAAAGGCCTCCCCGGCAGATCTCAGAGCCCACACTGGTTCATAGAAGGAGATGTGATCTCGAAGATAGGTTGGACCTGAAGCGTATAGGGCTTTATAGGTAATGACCTGTACTTTGAATTAGGTTCGGAAACTTGTCAGCAGTCATGCTGTAGGTAGGCATACATGTCTACATCAGTAATAACTATAATAGAATCCTTGGGGTCTCTCAGTTCCTGAGATAAATTATAATAATACAATCCTGCTCTTTGCTAGCTTTACGGCATTATTTACTGCAGCCAGGCTGTTGCAAGTTGACACAAGTTTGTTTCTCTAGCTTTCCTTTATTATGTTTCAAATGCTAATGTTATTTTTACAAAATATTCCAATCAAGATAGATTAGGAGAATATGGGCCAGTTGGGTTGCAGTCATAAAAAGACTTGTATTTCATACTTTCTTCAACATTTTTTGCTTTGGCTTGACAAGCTTGAGGCTGAGAAAAGATATGGTTACTGAGAATAAAGCAGAGAAATGAACTTTTCTCTTTTTACACAGTGTTTGTAGCGAAGGAGGGCAGATGGGTCTTACTAGCAGTTTGATTTTGTTTGCTTTTGTGCTGCTGGGAAAGCAAGTTCCCAACAGGGCTCTCTGTGGACGTGAAGCCTAGGGAACTTCTCCAATGTTGATCGGGGAGGGAGAAAAGACGCTGCAAGAACTTCTCCAGGAGCTCCGCGGGCAGACCCCTGCCTCAGGTATAATGCAGATTTAACTCCATCCTCTCCAGAAGCCAATAAATCTGACTCTCTTGATCTGTTTTGCCGAGTGTTGGGGCTCAGCAGCAACATGCTGGGGATGCTGGAGATTCTGCCTTGGAGGATGAGGGGAATGATGGATTTTTCACTGAGTCTGTGTGTGATCAGGCCGAATCACAGACGGAAATGCAGGCTGTAAATAAGGATGAAGGACCGACAGCTGCAGAAGAAATGAAAGATGTTTGGGATTCTGTTTCTCTTGAGAATCAGCCTTCACCACTTTCTCAGCCTTCAGAGGATGGGGAGTTGTCCCGTAATATGAGATTAGGTTTCCGCTCAGAGGAGATAATATAATAGACTCAGTTCTTGTGGGTTTTTTCGGGCTATATGGCCATGTTCTAGAGGCATTTCTCCTGACGTTTCGCCTGCATCTATGGCAAGCTTCCTCAGAGGTGAGGTCTGCTGGAGCTGGGAAAAAAGGGGTTTATATATCTGTGGAATGACCAGGGTGAGACAAAGGGCTTTTGTAAGTTGGGCTAGGTGTGAATCTTTCAACTGACCACCTTGATTAGCATACAATGGGCTGACTGTGCCTGGAGCAAACTCTTCTTGGAAGGTGATTAGATGTCCCTGCCTGTTTTTCTCTCTGCTGTTTTTGCTGTTGCAATTTTAGAATTTTTTAATACTGGTAGCCAGATTTTGTTCATTTTCATGGTTTCTTCCTTTCTGTTGAAATTGTCCACATGTTTGTGGATTTCAATGGCTTCTCTGTGTAGCCTGACATGGTGGTTGTGAGAGTGGTCCAGCATTTTTGTTTTCTCAAATAAAATGCTGTGTCCAGGTTGGTTCATCAGGTGCTCTGCTATGGCTGATTTCTCTGGTTGGAGTAGTCTGCAGTGCCTTTCATGTTCCTGGATTCTTGTTTGGGCGCTGCGTTTGGTGGTCCACCCAGAGGAAAAGTGTTCCTGCCATACATCAAGGGAACCACTGACCGCATAGGGAAGCTGATGAG